CTCTGATGCCTGTGTCATGTAGACTCTGGATGAGGGCGGAGTGTGCCACTCTGTCAAAAGCTTTGCTCATGTCAGCGAAGATGACACCACAGTATTCGTTGTTATCCAATGCAGAAAGCCATCTGTTCACAGCTAGAGCCAAGCAGTCTTCGCAAGAGTGGTTGCGACGGTATGCAAATTGAGAGTCTGGTACGTGTTCAAAGCCATTATCTGCGAAGAATGTCATTATCTGGTCCAGTACTATTCTTTCTAATACCTTGGCACATATAGGCAGCAGCGAAACAGGGCGGTAGTTTGCCGCCAGATCAGGGTCTCCAGATTTCATAAGTGGACTTATGATAGCTTGCTTAAAGACGGTGGGGACATTACCAGTTTGGAGGGACTCGTTCACTATGTCCGTGAGGTACTCAGCAATAGCATCTCCACCATTCTTCAGTATGGATGGTAGCACGTTGTCTGGACCTGGTGATTTGCACAAATTAAGAGACTTCAGAATATCGGACACGTGTTGTACTGTCACTGGTTGGAAATTCGTGAGATGAGGTAGCTGCTCATTGTCTTCAGGTGGAATTTGTAGAACCCCAGGCCTGTTGGTTTCTTGAACAATGGTCGCAAACGTATCAGTCAGCGACGAAATTGATGCAGTGGGCTTGTTCCGGGTGGGTCTACGACCAGTCATGCCGTTAAGCAGACGCCACTGCCCTCTTGGGTCATTCCTTAGATCCTGGAATTTCTTGATTAAAAACTGTGACTTCAGTTGTCTGTTCAAGCGCTTTCCTTGACGCCTGGCTGCACGATACCTTTGTTTAAGAGCTGAGTCGTCTGGCTTACGCTGAAGCTGTCGATGTAAGTTCCTCCGTGTATGGTGCAGCTGCTGCAGTTCAGCAGTTGTCCAAGAATGAGGTATAGGTTTAGGACAGATTGGGTATCTGACTAGCTGCACTGGAGCATGACGGTTAGTAAGGTCAGCTAGTGATGTCAGGAAAGTTTCGGCTTGAAGATCAATAGTTGCATCGTTGTAATTGACTGCCAGAAATGCTCGGGCGTCCTCCTTGAACTTTCGGAAGTCGATTGCGGCAATACCAGGTTTTCTAATACTGCGATAGGCGTGCTTTTGAATGCGGTGCCAGCTGTGGAGATGGAGGTCAAACACTACGAGGTGATGGTCACTAAGGTCGTCCACGGCAGTGACTGAGGGCTGCTCATGGCAAAGCCCAGCTTCCAGTAGAACCAGGTCCAGGCACGTGTTCGATGGTAGCCGTGTTGGTACTGTGATGATATTGTGCAGACAGTGCTCTGCACAGAGTTGGTTCAGGTACTTGAGTTGAGGAGAGTGAGGCGGGATAGCATTCGTGTTAAAATCTCCCAGGATAATTCGCTTACTCTTTGGCACTGGCTGACTGTCCAATTGGGCACTCAGATAATCCCAGAAATCCACTCCAGTGCTGGGAGGCTTATACACGGTGCTGACAATAAACGTCTCAGCTCTTGTGTCCTTTCCCTGACGGACTAAAATGTGGAGAGCTTCAAGCTCAGGGTGGCTACTAGCATGTACTACTGTTGCCTTCAGACTGGATGAAACATACAGACAGACACCACCACCATGAAGGGAACGGTCCTTCCTGTAAATACTGTATCCAGGGATATGGAGCATGTGGTCGCTGACACTGCCATCCAGATGAGTTTCATTGATGGATAATATATGAATCTCATTGCCATGCAGTATTTCGTGGATTTGCTGAATTTTATGGCGCAGGCTACGAACGTTCAAATGGGCAATTGTAAAGCTAGGGTTCCCAGGAATGTCCTATGGCTGAGAGCTCGATGCAGGAACAGGTAGATTGTCGAGTGCTAGCAAGAGTACATAACCCCCGGGGGGTTATGTACTCTTGGTGCTAGTGGGACACCCTTCTCATCAAGAATGACATCATACGGGAGTTGGCATTTGACATCCTTACTTCTCAGATTTTGTACTGTGGTAGTACTGTCTTCCTTTTTTGCAGCTGTTTTCGGGTAAGATCGTTGGAGAAGTACACAGGTGAGCCATCATCGAGTTTCACGTCAAATCTCCTGCGATAAATTGCGCCTTTGATGACATTATTCTGGAACTTGATCCGTATTGGACGCGATTGTGTGCCCGTAGTACGCGCCGTGACAAGCCTTTCCGTGGAAGATAAGGCGGTTTGGTCGACCCTCAGGGCTCTCGAGCAGATTTCCTCTAGTTTTTCCCCATCCATATCGGGGATTCCACGTACGATAGCGTACTGCTTCCGGTTTAGTCGCTCAGCTTCCTCTTGAATCAGAGCGGAAATATCAGGTGGAGCTAGCTAGTACTGTCGCTGTGGGTACGGGTGCGGGTACGGGACTGCCTTCAAGTGCAGTAAGTCGTTGTTCGAAAGATGACAGGGTCTTCTTCATCACGACATACTCCTCCATGACCTTCTCCATCCTTGTCAGCACATCATCCATGAAACGATTGAGGGTCTCCTTACTGGCCGTCTGCTCGTTACGAATTTCCTTCAGCATATGAGAAATCCTACGCAGCTCGTCATCATTGCCCTGTCCTACCTGGGTCGCTAATCGTGGTGCCTGCGAGCGGAGTGTATGAGGCGGACTAACAGCTTTGGACTTGCCTCCACTGAGCCGAGCATGCAAAGATCCCGTCCCAACACTTGGACTATGGGATGAGGAGGTTGGCATGGTCTTCCAAAGCACTACGCAATCTACTTCAGTACTGATCCGCTAAATAAAGTATACGGGCTAGAGGCTACCCTGAAAGATATCTGAAAAACGGCGGAGCACCAAAATTTGCATCCGCACACAACGAGATCTCACTTCTGTATTACTGATTGCGGTTATCAAATTGTTGTCTCCTCGCCACTCGTTCAAATATTTTAAATCGAGATACACCCAGCCTCAGATAGATATTCTGAATCTAATGCTGAAAGCACGTTTTCATTACAATACATGAATAAAGTGTACACAAATGTCGATCCAGCTTGTGTTACTGATTGCGGTTATCAAATTGTTGTCTCCTCGCCGCTTGTTCAAATAATAATAATAATAATAACTTTATTAGGATGACCCAAAGGCTGACCGCCTATCGTGGGGTCCGTCGCATTGAAGGATGATGGTACAAGAGAGTACTAACAGCGTGCACCTCTCCAATGAATTTTTCCCAAGTGTCCAACAAAAGTTTAATTAACTCAAAGTTCTAAAAACAGAACAAAAAGGCAAAAATTTGGTGTGGGGAAGCATAATGTACATGTACATATATTATTTTATTACGTGCTCTTGATAATACTATACTTACAGCAATCAAGAGTACGGTCAGGGAGTGGTCCGCACTGTTTTGACCGTGGTCCCCACCGTTTTGACATTGTAGTACCGTGGTCCAGTAAAACCATTTTGTGTTTTAGGGTAAACTCTCGCCACTCTGGAGACATATTTTCCACACCTGTGTACTATCAAGGCTATCATACCCTGGTTTCTCATCATGGTGTTGCTTTTGCCCGTAAAAGAGACTGTTCTCTTCTTGTAAAAAAAAAACAAAAAACAAAAAAAACAGTCAGGGAGTTGTCAAATGCCGTATTTGACAAATCCCCGGTATACCGGTACAATTGATGCAGACATGGAAAAAAAACAGTCAGGGAGTTGTCAAATGCCGTATTTGACAACTCCCCGGTAAACCGGTACAATTGATGCAGACATGGCCACACAACATTACAAAAAGGCAAAACCACAACAGCATTAGTATAGTTATTTTACCCCCCCCCCCCCCCCCCCCCCCGCTGTCCAGTATAGTAAGCATACAGGAGATAGGAACTTCCGAAGACGGTCAAAGATAGTGTGGCAAAGTTAAGGAATCATTTAGGGCCCGGTCACACATGCACTCGAAAGTAGCGTATACGCTGAAGCGAGGTCGCAGGAGCGAAAAATGGCATGGCAACGGCGAAAAGCGGAACTTCCGCTTCAGCGGAAACTCCAATCCGCTTCCTCCAAAATTTTCGAAGCGAGACTGTCGCTTCTGCGGATTCGCTTCGCTGGAAAACACCACGGTCTACATTATGGCCCGGATTTGCTACGAGAAATTTGTATGCGTATGATGTCCATGCAACAAAAATGCGTGCAAGATAGTCATTGACCTCGTCTATTCTCCGTACCGTATGCACCACAGTCTCATTTTCCGCCAAAGTAGGAGTTGTGGCTGTTGTGCCCTGTTTGTATGTGTGACCACACACACGTGGTTTCGCTGGAGCGACACCAGGCTCGCTGCCGCCGAACCTCGTCGCCGAAGCGAATCCCAGTGCATGTGTGACCGGTACAGTGAAACCTGTCCAACGCGACCGCTCAAGGGACCTTCAACATGTGGTGGTTGTGTACCCCCCCCCCCCCCCCCCCGCTCAAGGGACCTTCAACATGTGGTGGTTGTGTACCCCCCCCCCCCCCGCTCAAGGGACCTTCAACATGTGGTGGTTGTGTACCCCCCCCCCTCCCCCCGCTCAAGGGACCTTCAACATGTGGTGGTTGTGTACCCCCCCCCCCCCCCGCTCAAGGGACCTTCAACATGTGGTGGTTGTGTACCCCCCCCCCCCCCGCTCAAGGGACCTTCAACATGTGGTGGTTGTGTACAGGTGGTCGCTTTATAGGCATGGGCGGATAATGCTCGAAAAGGTGGCAGATTCTGCTCGAAAAGCAGTGAAATTGGCAGAACCATACAAACCTTATGGCGGGCAATTCCTCGAATTCTGCTCCATTTCTTTATCCACATACCAAACATGCATGAAACTTACCAGAAAAAGTACCGAATTTTGCCAATTTTTCTGCCGGCAGAATCCGCAAAGGCCTATCGCCTTATCCAGGGTCATTTGACTGGAAATAGTACCCCTTACTTACTCCTGGTTGCAGTGGTATTCTAGGACAGGTGGTCGCCTTATCCAAGTGGTCGCCTTGACAGGTTTAACTGTACCTCCAATGATCCCAATCATCCACCAAAAAAGTAACTTCACGGTTGCCTTGACTACTGTGAGGCCTAGAAAAATAATTTGGAAAAAGCTTGAATATCGAAATTAGAAAATGCCTGAACCAGTAATGCGGGAATGTTGGTCAAACACACAACACAAAGAAAATATGAGAGGTACCTAAATACACAGGCAGCAGCTGCATGACGCTTGCCCGCGCCGCAACATCTTGCGAACATGCATGGCGCAGTGTGTTCGTCAGGCACGCACCCGGGGAATCGCCCAGGCCGTCGACATACCCACAGCGACATAGAAATTTGACAATAGAGTAAGTGGAGAAAATGCGTGATGAGACAAAACAGCAGCAGCAGCAACAACAACAAAAAAACAAGAACAACAAAATGAATTGATGATGGCTATTTCAAGACTGAAACGTTGAATTAAAATATTTTTCTGGTGAAAAGCAGTGATTGAGTGTGAGCCGATGTTGGTCACAAACCAAATTTTAACAAAATGAAGATTTCGAATAACAATACCTACAACAGGCGGTAAAGTACCAACACAATGGAAAATCGCCGGAGCATGCGCAGTGGGTAACACGTGGTGCAGTGCAGAGCCCGACATCCCCCCCCCCCCCCCCCCCCCCGCAATGCGTAGTGCAATTAGCTGCTTGTAGCGGCGCCGGGCTGCAAAGCGTGCGGCGCGACGAATCGCGCGTTGACAGTTCGAGAAAACAAATTCTAAACTACTAGATGCAATGCATAGGGGCCTGTGTGTGGGGGGGGGGGGGGTGGTATGTTGTGCTAAGCGATACTGGAGAAAGACACCGGCGAAACGCCGACTGCGCTCAACCCTACACTGCAGGGGAACGTGGTGACATCTGGCACTCACTCAGAAGTGATGGCGGCCGGTGGTGGTGGTGGTGGGAGCTAGGAGTCGCATCGTCCGCCTGAAGAGTGTATACGGACGGGCTACACGCTCGGTACAGGATACCGAATGGCATGATCAGCATGACCTGGCTGCCCAGCTGTCCTAGAGCGACCATGGTGTCACGTTGCACGGGACGACAATCGAACGGCACAGCTGTTCAATAGCAAGGAAAACGTCACACGTGCCGGCTTACTCGGGGAGGGTGGGGGGGGGGGGGGGGGGTAACTAAGAAAAGAACACAAGCATGTGCACGTATGCCAAGTACAGTGGCGTGCCATGCGCTACAAGATCAGCCTCGGACCTTGAGCTCGGGAATGTCGATGTAGCATCGCAAGCCCTGCGGATCAGCCTCAGACCTTGAGCTCGGGAATGTCGACGTAGCACTGCAAGCTCTGCGGATTGCGCAAGGCGCCCTCCTGAGCGGCTGCCGAGTGGCCGGAGAGGATTTTCTTGACGGCGACTTCGACTTTCTTGCCACTCACAGTATACTGGGGGAGGCGAGCACACAGGACACAGGAACCACAGTATCAGACAGAACACGGATAAGGACAACGACAGCATCGGGATTTACTTCAGTATTAATAGTAATATTTGTATTTATTCAATTAAAATAGAAGAAATCACATGGAAACAAGTTATGAAGCAACTATCCATGACTGTAACAAGATAATAAGCAGTCATGGCCAGCAATCGAGGACATCTAGGAGTTGTAATTTGTGTACTCCTCCGAGGTGTGATTTTTGGCGTGCTGGGCCAAGCACAAGGAAGCCACCTGTCAAAAATATGAAGAAAACGGTTGTTGTTTGATCCTTTGGTGTAATCTTTCTAGCTAGTCGAAGCAAGTTGCTGTTTGGAGCAGAAACGCTGAAATTGATTATTTTCTGCATGTACTCATGCATGTACTCATGTACTCAGGCATGCAGTCTCACTCGTATTTTAGCTCATTTTCTTGAATGGATGCTGCTCTGCGCCCCTTGGTGAACATTTCCTGCGCTCGTGGAGCAGCTGAAAAGGACCACTGGTATGTCTGGTTCCTGGTTTGAAAGTGGAGAGTCGACTTTTGTGTCTTGAAAAAGGAGTAGAGAGTGATAAAGGTATGTCTGTAGCTTATTTTGAGTGCTCCTCGTACATTTTTGATCGTGATAGAAATTCTCAGACCAAAGATGATGGCCGATCAGTTTTCTTGTGGACTTTTTAGTTATTTCGTCTCGTATCGATGTCAGTATCGTGATGGTGAAGTGGAGAGGGTGATTTTCTTCCTCTGGGGTGATTTTCTTCCTCTGGGCTTCGTTCGGCCGACTTTGCTTCGTCCTCGTTGAAAAGTGATGCTGAAAAAAAGGTCGATTCGCAAAATTATGTTGATTTTGAATGTGCGTGATGACATGCGATTGCTGGCTATGCAGAAAGTGCGATAACAGGGCACAAAACTGACATGTTACTGTGACGTTCAACGACCTGTATCCGAGTTAATTTTATTAATGTTATTCACAATCACATGACACTAGCGCATGAAATGGTGATGCGGGCGATAGCCAGCCATGGCGGTAATAGAGCTAGAGGGGAGAAAGAAGACAAGAGGTTACATTGTGTAAGACGTCGGCGTGGAGACAAGAAACCTGATATCGACGAAAGCAAAGTGAGCGCACTCATACCACGAGAACAATGGAACAACATTTTATGATTTGAACGTCGTTTTCATGTGATCATCCTCAGAAGACGGTTCGGATGAGTGCGCCCACTTTACTTTCATCGACATTATTTAATCATTTCCTTTTGAGAAATGACATCATGTAAGATAAGGAATTTAACATTGCAGGGCTGTCACTTGTTCCAATTTTCGGAAACGCTTCGATGTTTACAGGTGGTTCCGACAAACCGACCGAAAACAATCTTCTTGTTCTCACAAGCCGCTGGATGTAGCATGAACACAGCCAAGAAGAATAAAAACAACAATGGCCGACTTACGGGTATATCGGGTATTGGCAAGATGAACGTCGGTACATGCCGCGCCGATAGCTGACTGCGGATCTGCACCTGCAGCTTGGCTCGGAACTCCGGCGAGAAACTGCAAACGTGTGTGCAGGTGCACGCACGCACACATGCGTACACACACACACACACACACACACACACACACACACACACACACACACACACACACACACACACAAAGACACACACACAAAGACACACACACATACACAACTTAGATAGCCCATTCCCGAAGGGGACAATAGCAAACTCCTACAGTAGAAAGTTACTAGAAACTGACACACGCCAGGTGTGTAGCTCGTGTATAGTCAGCATAGTCCGTTAAACACACCTGCAAATAGCTGTCATACGTATACTACTTGAAGTACATAGTCAAAATAGGCAAAATGGCGGCTATCAGGTTGCCGATGGTACATGGTCACTACACCACAGATGTACAGTCTGATACATGGTCACCACATCACAGTTGTGCGAGCTGCGCTTCTGTACGCACTGATAATATACATGTAGATGGAGGTGAGAAACCTCCATCATCAATGATGTAGTGTTTTAAAAGACAGCTGACAGCACGGAGGGAGCAAACCCAACCTGTGAGTATCGGCCATCTTCACGAACAAAACGACGCGCTCATCTTCCTGGTAAGCTTGTCCAACGCACAGGCTGTCTTCCACTTCCGCGAACGCCTCGACTGCAACAACACATGTACACACATACGGCCACACACACACACACACACACACACTCACGCACACGCACACACGCACGCACGCACGCGCACGCGCACGCACGCACGCACGCACGCACGCACGCACGCACACACACACACACACACACACACACACACACACACACACATGCACACATGCACACATGCACACACACTCACATGAACCGGCCAAGACGAGTGGAATCAAACGCAGGTCGAGCACTCCATTACCACACGACTGCAAAAACCGCGTCCACTACGAGCAGCTTTGTAGTGCACAAGAAATGAAATGCAGTACATGTGCGTGCAGTGTGGCCAGGAACCCGAGACCAGTGGCCGGGGGAGGCTACTACGCCCCACCTGCACTACTGCTAGCTTAGCAGCCCCACAGATAGTCGTCCGTCGTTATCCTTTCTTCTCTTTCTTTGTGCCTTTTTTCTTCCTCCGTCTGATCGCAGGGATTGTGTCATTCGTAAAAAAAATCCAAAAAACCAAACCAAACATGTAAGGATATGATAGTAGGGATTTCAGCGCGTGAACTGCGCAGCCTGTTTGTGCAGGTGAGATTTTAGATCCCAAACGTGTCCAGTGCAGAAACCCTGAAAAAGAACATTTTTCGAAACGAGAGAGCTTGGAAGCTCAGGGCCCTACGCTATGCTTTCTTGCTTTGATGACCTAGACAAAAAAAAGGATAGGGATGTTTTTTTTCAGACATATTAAACCTGGGATTCGAACCCGCACTATCGCCCTGCAAGCACCCCCGATACACTTCGCATACATACTAATTCTTCCAAGTTGCTTCACGTTTTGATCTTGCATTTCAAAGCCCTATTTGAATATTGTGGCCAGCCGTCTTTGATGGTACGGTACGGTACGGGACAGGTACGGGCGAGGGTAATACGACACCGTCTACCGCCTTGATGACCTAGGCAAAAAAAGCATGAGGATGTTATAAATTTATCAATTCTCCTATTTTTTTTCAAGGCATCACCTGGGATTCGAACCTGCACTATCGCCCTACATGCATTCCCCCATACACTTCGCATTCATACTCATTCTTCCAAGTTGCCTCACGTTATGATCTTGCGTTTCAAAGCCCTATTTGAATGTTGTGGCCAGCTGTCTTTGATGGTACGGTACGGTACGGGACAGATACGGGATAGCGCCAGGCGTGACACAAACACACACCAAATTAAAGCTGTGTGGACCCTGGCTAGCGCCAGACGTTACGTCTTCTGCATAGCTACGGGAATAAATCAAGTTGAAGAAGACAGCCGAAATGGCTGAATGTTGCGTCCAGGAAAGCACGTTCTACAGCCATCTCCAAGCTACCTATCTCCCAGACACTCTCTCAGAGGATCTATGGAGGGTCAAAGAGCACATATTTCACTCTTGGACGCAGCGTGAACACCTCTTCTAATGAGCGCGATGTCTTCTCCCTGAATGATAATGGCGGTGATGTTCACGATGGCTGATGCACTAAAGATCGAAGTTAGGACAATCTAACCCGAGAAAACGTCTGAATTTTTCACTGAATCTTCTCTGAAGTGGGTTCTTGCCGCATGGCAAATTATAGGAAAATCGACTGCGGCGATATCGCCTTGGCCACGCTTTCCCTTGGCGGGAATCACCATGTGTTCGAACGATGATGAAGATGACGATTCCGCTAGTGTCGATCGTTATTTTCCTCGTCGTTTTCTAGGCCCAAGCATCGTTACTGTCCTACCGGATGACTTCTGCTGCCTAAGATCGTGTTCTTTGCCAAACTTCTCGGACATTTTGTTCCAAATTTGTCATGGCCAAGATAAAATCAGCAGTCGGTAGATGTCATGAACGACGTTCAGCCGGAGGTATATTTGCACCAGCTGGTTTCAATAAGTTCCACAAAGACTGGAAATGTTCAGACCAATGCAGCTTGATCATATGCTCTGAAAGTCTTCTAGCAATTCTAAATAAGATTCCTGGCAAGTACCCATGTTGCCCTGAACACAGAATGCTGTAAAACGACGAACTTTCGCGGCGGCTAAATTTAGCGTTTTGGCAAACTGGACCAGTTAGCGGCGATTAATTTTAGCGATTTTTATCTTCCACTGAAAATCTTCAAGAATTTTATTTTACGAAGCCTCGGACCGCGGAGTGCTGGGACGCGGAGTGCATGAAGAATGAGAGAAGAAATCAAAGAAAGAAGGAATCGAGGAATCAAAGATAATCATACGGCGAGTACTAGTACTGGGAGAAAGGATGGCGTTTTCGAAAAGGGATCATCAGAAGACTTTCTCTTCGAACTGCTGAGTCACTCGTGAGCGGTGACAAACTCCAACGTCTACCCAAGATAGTTGTAGACGGTGTTGCAGACTACGGAAGCCCATCAAGCCGGGATACAGGAAGATTGTTACGGTGTTGGGATGATGGTCGCAGATCAATGTTCAATGTGATGAAGGCTGCAGGTGCTCTCGACAATGTCGAAGAGACATTTGAAAATGCTGACCAGATCGAAGCCCAGGAGTTCATCCGTGTGATCAAGGATCTGAATGAGCGTATGATCTTTCGAAGAGACGGGGATACGGAAGCGATGACGAAATCTGTCCGCCTCTCAGTCATCGCGACAAGGATAACCCGTGTTGTTGTGCGTGTCGGCACGATCGACATTGATGATGAAGGTTATCATAAGAAGATGCCGGAAGTCTTGTGCGATACTATAGCAAGCCGGAAGCGCAAGGCCGATGATGACCTGGATGAATCAAAAAAAATTGAAAATGATCCGAAAAATTGAAATTACAAGTCAAAATACTGCAAAACTATGAGTTCTGATTAATATAAAATTGGAAAAAGTGAGATAACATTGACATTAGAAATAGTAATATTTTAGACATCGGAATGCAATATTATGATGTAGGGCAGGACATAACACCCACCCCTAAAAATCAAAATTAATGATACATGCGGAATTCCAAATCATGACACCATATTACTTTATTGTTTAGGGTAGAGCATAACACCCCAATACATATTTTCAATAATACCCCTTTTTTGAGGTAGGGGCACCCCTGGCACATATTTTTATCCGCAAAAAAACCGGGCCAAAAATAATTTACACCGCAAAATGGGGTACTATTAGTACCCCATTTTTCAATAATACCCCATTTTTTGGGACCCGGGCGCCCCCTGCGCCAGAACCCGCTCGTTACTTACTACTCAGCTCTGATCAAGAAACGAGTGTCATCCTCCGCTGCTATCCAGGTCTTTTGCCACATACTCGAAACGTCTTCTGGCAGCCCACCTTCCAGGTGGGATTCCCCATACTATGTCGACGAACTTGCGTACGGTGACATCCAGCGTCGCCACCACCAACGTTGCCAGTGAAAGAGCGTTCGCTCAGCTGGACAGACTGTGTCGGGAAAAACCCAACGCATCCCTCATCGCCATCGAGGGCATGGCCCTCTTCAGCGGCAACAAGACAGGAGCCTGGCTTGAGCAGCAGAGCACTGCGTGGAAAGAGGAGCTCTTCTCCAGCGCTCTCCGTAGTGCTGAGAAGCATCGGCAACAATATCGCCAGCGCTGCGCAGAAATCGCAAAGTTCCGACGTGAGGAGATCATCGCGAAAGAGCCTGATCGCCAGTCGAGAGAGAAGCGGGCCCTGGAAGTCCGACAGCAACTCTCAGTGGCCATCGGGCAGGCTGGTTGCTGGACGGACACCAATACGATTACCAGCAAACTGGCAGGGATCGCCACAGTGTCAAGCAAGGTGAGCGCACTCAAGACACAGCTCAAATCCCGCAAGGTTGTCCTGCAGCAGAAAGCTGACAAGAAATTGTTCCAGTTCTCGCATGCCGGCAAACAGCTCACTTGGCAACAACTAGCTGCAAATCTACTTGAACTTGTCGGCAGCACGGTGACCCCGGTCACAACATCAGAAGGAGAAAGCAACACCAGCGATGCATCTTGAATGGTGAGTTCATAACTATCTCCTTTCTCCCTCAAGTCAAGACTCAAACATTTAGAAAGCAATCCTGTCAGCTTTTCTATTATTAGAGAGGTTCCGGGGTACGATTTTCCGTGCCAAAATCCGTATGGGTGCTACGGATTTTTTCCAGGCGTGCACCATACGATTTTTCGGCACGGAGAATCCGTGTGGACTGGCTTTCACACGAACTATGTTTCGCATGGAGATTTTGCGTCATCGAGTGCAGAAAGATTTTTCGCGTACAAGAAACATCGATTTTCCGCGAGAATATTTGATTTCGGTACAAATTTTCAAAATAAAAAGGCATAGCGCGGGAATGTGACGTGTTTGCGATCGTAACCTAGGTAATGACGGCAAACACATAAGTTCCGTACTTCGGAACATTTCACTGCTCGAAAACGACGAATAAAAAAGCCGTAGCGCCTCTACGGATTTTGGCACGAAAAATCGTACTCCGGAACCTCCCTATTTTGCTTTTGCAGCGCAGTTTTCCTTGGTTTTACCAACCCGCGCCATTTTGTACCTGTGTCCGCGAGCTGCACTCAAAACTCGATGACGCAATGTATGCGCAAAGACCCTGCGCATTGCACGCGCTGAGATCCCTAATGATAGTGTGTTATCCACTCATCCCCACCGTTAGGCGCTGCATCTGCCGCTAGGGTTTATCGGGTGTTAGCGGCCGTCGTGAGTTCCCTTTGGGAACGGACAAGATAACTTTTTTTAATTATGCGAACTTACCAACATTGTAGATCTCCGAGCTACCAAATCGTACTCCGCTTGGATTGAGTGTGCCGTCACTGAAATAGCCAGCGCATACAGGCATACACCGCCATCATCCACATGCAAGCGTGAAAGCACACGCACACACACCCACACACACACCCACACACACACCCACACACACACACACACCCACAAGTGCACAGACGGCAACACGCACACAGACACAAGTATGAGAGCGCGCACACACATACACACACGCACAGACGGAAACACGCACATAGACACCGACACCGACACACACACACACACACTCACACACTCACACACACACACACACACACACACACACACACACACACACACACACACCACCACCACCACCACCACCACCACCACCACCAGAATACCTGAACTGCTGCTAAGGCCGCGGCCACACAAGACAAGTTCGCACCGCTTTTGCGGAGGCGAAAAGCGAAACTACCGCTGCCACTTTTACGGAACGCATGATGCAGCAGCAGCGGTCGCACATGACTGTGCTCCTCAACGCTTTTGAAGACGTTGTCTCGTCCCCCGCTTCGCCACGGGACACCCGTGCAAGAAGAAAGTCATACTGTAGTCGCTTCTGGTCCGTTCTGAGGGGACAAGGAGTTTGAGAGACTGATTTCCTTGGTAACTACACGCTGATGACGATCCAGCATCTTGAGCCGGATATCGAAAACCTGCAGTATGTTGACCATTTGCGCAGGGGCAAGGAGGAATTCTGGCAACTTCACGAGACACTCGGAAGACTGCTGGCAAGAAAGGACACGGAATGGAGAGCGTCTCTTCCTAGCCACAAACGATTGGTTATCACGTTGCATTGGCATCTAGTTTCGCAGACCTGGCCAGGCAATACGCAATTGGCAAGTCCACCACAGTCCACACTTTACATTCAACTACAGAATTGTAGTCTCTAGACATGGTGTCGTGATCAATTCGCTTCTCTGAAGCGTCAGGCGAAATTACTGGTCAGTCGGCGTCACGCATTTTCACAAAAATTTGCGTTTCACCTGCTGGGAGAGTATGCGTGTACTCGAGTCTCATCCTGAGCACGTTTTTTTTCTTCTTTTTTTCAGCTCCAGTATAGCTGTATTTTTCATTGCAAAGCCGTCCTCGATTGTTGTGTTCGTTGTTCAAACGAAGTGGACATTCAATCATGAAGGCAGAGGACATAGGAGCCTGATTGGAGTTTCTCGTGGCATAGGACGGCCACACAGAGACACTTTGGGATTTTCTGAATATGAAATACCGTACGCACGATGCTGAGATCAATTTGTGCGATATCAAATTGTTTGTGATCTACCACATCGAGCAGAACGGGATCCAAACACAAGCTTACCGACGGTTAGGCTGCCGACCTGACTGGACAAATGATCCCTGGCTTCACCAGACGCCAGACGTCGGACACCATGTCCTTTGCCGCGACGTCCATCTCCAAAAAGAACTCCATCTTCGTCGTGAAAAGGCTTGAAATACTCAATATTCAACCGAGATTCGCGGTCTCACCCTTTCTCAGATCGAATCATTTTTTGTTGTAGCAGTTGCAGGGCAGATCCCCGCCACTACTTCAACAGAAGATGGCTCCAAAGCATGCCTGGAACAAGCCATATCGAGGTTGCAAGCCACCCCTCTCAGCACTTTTTTTGAAGAAATTCGAAATTTCAATGGTGGAAGATATACTATGAAGAGAATTTCAAAAAGTATATTTCGCGGAGCGATCGCTCAACCTACGTCATTCAAACTTTGCAGGATGGTTCAGACGTACATGCTAGGCATGGAACCACAGAAGATGATATCATAGCTGACACACAGAGTCACACACACAGCAGATTCGTGTGCACAGATACTAAATTAGTGGACGTCGTCATCTTCTTCCCGCTGATCTCAAATGTACGATGACGTGCTATTTCGCCTGACGGGAAAGAGCTGAAGAGAACCATACCAGAGTTTCAAGATTTAGCAAGGCTTGAGAGATGCGAGGGGAGCTGTGGTGGTTCACGAAGATCGAAAAGCCACGCATACAATTCG